TTTGGAAAGAACTGCCAAGAGGGGGCTAGCAGGTAGCAAGGTAGTTAAGGCACTGGACTCCCTCCCTCATAGCTAATTGCAGTTCAAGTCCCAGAACAGGCGGCTTCAGAATCACACTGGGTGTGTGTACGTGTGTGCTCAAACTTTCAAGAGAAGAATGGAGAAGGAACTGTAGCATGTCAATCCCCACTGGGAGGGGGGGTAATTTCTCATTTTCCCTCTCTGTCTCTCTCCAGTGAGAGAATGCACCCTATGGGGAGGAAAAAAAAACTTAAAAAAGAAAAAGAGGCTGCGGCTTCAGCCAGCGGTGGCGGCTGAGCTCAGCGCTGCCCTCGGCTGGGGGGTCCCTGCTGGCACCCGAGCCGCAGCGATCCGGGCAAATTCCTTCACATGAGCGTGACCACAGCCACTGCTTGTCCTTACGGGTTTGTGTTTGGATGTTAGCTAGACAGAAGGAACGGTGAGAGGCTGACTGCCCTCCGAACAAGAGAGTACGCGCCCCAGTGAGGGAGTGACCTGCAGGTACAAACTATGGCTGAATGACAGAATGTCACATTTTAAAAAAGTAATGAGAAAATGGGACCAGCAGTTGGCGTAATGGCTATGTCGCTAGACTCCCATGTAGTCGACCGCGGTTTGCGTCCTGGACCTGGTGGCTTAAACTCACGCCAAGCCCATGTGTGTGCGTGCCCAAGATCCCGAGAGGACAATGGAAGAAGGGATTGCGGTGTGGTCATCCCCGTGGGGGGTGATTCTTTCTGTCTCTGTGTCTTTTTGGCGAGCACACGTGCCAGACACAGTGTGTCCCATAGCAAAAACCTCTCCCCCTCAAAAAAATAAAGTGAGAAAAACATGTTTATTATTTATTAAAAAAAAAAAAGAAAGAAAGAAAAAGAAACTGCCAAGTGGTAGCCTAGTGTCGCTGTGGCACTGTATATTCCTGCCAGCAGTGAAAGGGCGCTCCCGCCCCACCTCAGTACCCTGTGCTGGTGCTGCTCGTCAGCCGCCGTCCAGGGGGTGCAGGAGGGGCTCTGGGGCTCGGCCCG